ATAAAATAATTAATATTTGAAAATAATTTAATGACTATAAATTAATTTTATAAAATTAGATAAATTAAACAGATTTATGGACTTTCTTGTAGCCATAACAGATCTTTGTGCGGGAAGAACATGGCCCCCTAGTCTAGTGGGCATAACCCCGTTTCCACCAGATGGGGACAGACAGGTCTTGGATTCCTTCGACGCGAAACGTTGTCCCAAATATAGTACCCAACCGTTGATTCCCGCGTACGCTGTTATCTCCTTTCTCTCTGCATATTTTTCCTCTCTAAACAAGCTCAACGACATGATTAATTCCTTAATCCTCAAATCCACCTTCTCCTAATCCCTTTTCTTTCCAGCCCATTCGATTTTTTCCATTTTGGGCGGAAAATTCAAGAAGAAATCACCACAACCCATATTCATTTTGATTTTCAGAAACCCTAAAGTTGCCCCTTTTCCTTTGAATCTTCCAGATTTGACTTCAGGCATTAAGGGCCAAACCCATATGATCCATTCCCTTGGTTTTCGAAAAGGGTGTGGAGAAGCACAAATACCCAGATTTGGAAGTAGCAGCTTTCTTGGGTCGATTCTGAATTTTAATTTTTCTTGGGTCGATTTGAAGAACACCGGTTTTTTCGTCTGAGAATAGGGAGAAATCAAGGATTTGGGACAATGTTAATTTTTGACCCATTTTCTTGATTTACCTGAAGAACTCGAAATCGGATTAGGCTAATGCCCAAACCCTAGTCTCTTTTTTGGGTTCTGGATTTGAAGGTGACAGGGGAAAGGGGGCCAACCCCCAAAATTTTCATTCATATTCAGACGCAGGAATCCATTGAAATACCTTGATCGAATCCTGATTTATTTTCGGTGTTGATAAACCTGTTGCTGTTCATGGAACCACCACTAAGATTAATGTTTCTAAGTATTGCCCTTGTCTTTGCCGTCTATTCTGTTCCTGTTCAGTCACAATCACCAAATAAAGGGAACCCTCCACTACCACCGCCACCTCCCCCCATTCCTCCACCTCCTCCCCCTCCTCCCCCTCCCCCTCCTCCTCCTCCTCCTCCTCCTCCTTCTCCTTCCCCCCCTCCTCCTCCCCTATCTTTTCCCCCTCCTCCTTCCCCTCTTTTCCCATCTCTACCACCTCCACCATTGCATCCTCCGCCACCGCCGTCAAAACTTTCTCCTCCGCGACTGCCACCAACGCATGACGGCAGACCTAATCAACAGAGACGGCTGCCACCTCCACCACCAGCAAGTAATCACAAACTGAATGCGGGGAAGAAGATTGGGTTGTTGTTTGCTGGCATCATAACAATCTTGCAGATTGGTGTAGTGGGCTTCTTGGCTTACAAGAGACGGCAGTTGTTAAAGTAAAGAGATTTTATAGTGCTTGATCCTGTTCTTCTTCATGAATTCTTCAGTTCCAGTTTCTTGCATTTATTTATTTTTTTGCTTCAGTGAAGTGGATTGCAGTGTTGGGAACTTGATTGGATTGTAAATTTCTTTGCCAAGCATTTCCAATGTTGGGGCTTTATTGAATTGAGATTCTTTGACATGCTGCATGAGGTTCTATGTTTCAGATTGATTGGATACCAGATGTCTACCGTTTGGTCCTTAGAGGTCCTCTGTAAATGGGTAAATGTTGATTGCCTTTTCCTTCATCTTCTTGTTATAGTTTTCTTTAATTTCTTATTATTTTTTAAAAAATTTTGGGTGCTGTAGTTTGTTTACACAGTTCATTATTTGAAATAGAAGAGATGTTTTTTGCATTTGCATTTGTTCTTTTATCTTTTTTACTAACTTGTGACATTGAACCATTCTTAGGAATCATGGAGGTGTTAAAACTGATGAAAGTTAGCTTTTGTATGTGGTGAAATTATTCACTGAAAGAAATTTCTCTTCATTCAGAGTCTTGCCATTTTAAGTTTTGCCTGTAATTCTGAAATGAATGCTGCTTGTTTGTCATTCTCATAGTTATCTTGTTCAATGATGTAAAATTTATCTCATCAGTTGCATGTGCTGCAAGATGTATGTCTTTTATGAATTGCCTAGATTGTAGATAATAAAATTAGAGCAATAGTGGAAACATAATTTGAAGCAGGATTTAAGGTGAGAGTTCTGATGCCCTAAGGTGACTGAAGAATATGACTTGGGAGCAAAAATTATAATGTGCTATTCTATAAATAGTAGATTCTACTATAATCCTTTTGAAGTTGTGTGTTAAAATAAATTTTTACCATGCTTAATTTGTAAAATCAATATTGTGCTTTTGGTAGTTAATTTTAATATTTAACTTAATTCATGTTTTCTTAATTGTTGTTGTTCCATGTATTCATTTAGCCAGCTATATGTTATATTTTCTATAAATGATAGATAGGTATTTGTCTAATGAGTAGCCAGTCTATCCTCATGAGTGGGGCTAAATATCAAAGGCAGCCATCAGATCGAACAACTTCCTGTCCTGTTAAACCTGAAGTTAGGAATGAAAAAGCAGTAGGCAGTTTTAATACTGAAACTGAATGCTGCCATAGATGGAGGTAATTTTGGAGTCAGAATGAATGCCATTCCTGATATTATCTATTCAGTGCAGGTTTTTATGTTATTCTTGAAACTACCTTGTGTTTTGTTTTAGTAACAAGTTCAGACTTCAGATACAACTATTGTCATATATTTCTAGATAAAAATGTGGGAGGATAGCTATATAACAACTGTTATGCCAATTTCAATCCTGTCATGATATGTTCATTATGTGCTATTTGTGGATGCTCTTTGCTCTTAAGCAATCACAGCGTGTCGTGTTCTAAAAGGCTTCAAAGTAGGGATAATCCTTGACAACACCTTTACCATTCATTATTTAGTGTACTTATTGTTTGATATTAGCTAAGATGAGCTGGTTCCTTTCTGAAAGGGAATTCTATTCTATCTCCCCCTGATTGCTTCTCTTCTGGAATTTAGGCTATTGTTAATTAAAAAGGACATAATTAGATGGGTCATGGTCTTCATTCTCTGCATTATTTTTTAGTTTTTGGGTTTACCCTGATTTTGACTTATTGCCGGCAGATATTGACAGGGAATTGGACTGGAATTGACCTTAATCTTATCTGTTGAATGGTTCAAAGTTCAAACAGCAAGACCAGGAAAATAAAGGGGTCATGGTTTATGATTGTGTTGGGCCATGATATGGACCCAAGTAAGGCCCAAGGAGAGTCCAGCTTGGTTGATATTGGATCATCCATGTCATAACCCATGTAAAAAAAAGCCCAGCAAACCAGCTCCCTTTTACAGCAACTCTGTTTGCAAAGCTATGCTTATCTTATACCATCCTCTAGGAACTGATTAAGTCAGCAAAACGTGGCATGAAGGGTCTGCCTAACAATTGTGTTGTCTAAAAATAAAAAATAAAAAATTGTGCAAAGACTAATGATTAAGGAAACAAGGAAATATATAAAAAATTATGTCTTTGTTCCCCTCTGTTGTGAGTTACTACAAAATGGTGGAACCAGAGTTTTGCCTCGGTTCCCCTGGTGGGGATTCCCCTTGAGGTTTAGTCACTCTCGATGCTTTGAGAGGAAAGACCTTAAAGCACATCAAGTAGCTACGACCAGACAGAAGCAAACATGATTTCTCGAGGAAGAGAAGCATCTGGAAAGAAACAAATAAGATGTATTCCCAGCCACAACTTTTAAAGCAAAGGTATATTGACCCACAGCAAGTACTCTTTTGGCCGATCTATAAAGACCTCACGCTTTCACACTTCAGCTGTCTAAAAAATAAGAAAAATATCTGAGGCTTAGTGGGAGGTGGACAACATATTTGTACAAGAAAATTGATGGGGGTCAGTGGGTGAAGATCAAATTTACCTGTACGGACCCTGGATTTGAATGCAAGATCAAGCCATGAATCAGTGTTATTGTTGGGTGACCAGTTTTCAAAAAAGTGGTGCACTGGCTTCTGATTTTCTCTTTCCTTTTTCATTGTTGTTGCTGAGCTGATATCCGTGCCCAGGACTAGGCAATGCTGCTCTTGTTGTTGCTGGTTTGAACTATCAATAAAGCTCTGATATTGTGATTGAGACAAGTTTTTATAAGAACTCTCTGCAGCTTCAGGGAAGAAAACTCTCTCATCATCAACACCCTCCTTTGTCCCAGAAAAATGCCTATTATTTGGTCAAAATGATCAAAAACGTTGTCGAAAAACATTAATGAAACTTTGAGTTGTTAGGCATACCTGTAATCTGTATTAGCTTGAGGGTAAGATATCCCAGTTCTAGAATCCAAGAAATGGTGTGAAGATTGATTTTGAAGTGTTAAACCGTAATCAGGAGGCTTAGATGAGGAAGAATGGGAATTTTGAAGGTACGAGTTAAAATGGGTCTCTTGGCTAGGATTGGGAGAGTTGTATATTTCAGAAGCCAAGGAAGAAGAAGGTAGTGGAGAAAGAGTAAAAGGGGAAATGGAGTGTATGGTGCTATTAGTGGAAATGGTGAGGTTTGTCTTGCTTGATGGGATATGTGGTGGAAAGAAGGATGGTGGTGGTGTTGTTTTGGTACTTGAAATTGTTGATGAAGCAACTTCACCAGGCTTTCTTGAACGATTTTTGCCTCTGTGCATGTGTTTCTCACAGTACTTGGAATCTGGATATGCTTCTTTTGAACACCGCCATTTCTTCCCATCTGTTCTTCTGCACCTCCCTGGCTCTAGGTCTACTTTTCTGTCAAAACCCACCTGAAAACTGTTCCACCCAACTGCACCAATGCAACCCACATGCCCCAAAACCAATACTTAGAGAGAAAAATGGTAAAAGTACCCAAAACATAGGAAATCTGAGATAGTTAGAAGTGCCTAGAAGGTTTTTGAATAAAAACGTCAAAGTAATGGTTTGCATGCTTACTCAGTTGATTAGGTAACAGCCTTGAAGCCAGAGAAGAGTGCAAACTTCCTTGGACAGAATAGATGAGTTCAGGAGGGATAGGAACTCCAGAGGCGATGTACTTGTATACCAAAGCTTGTTCTTGAAGCTCTTGCCACTGAATTGGAGTGAAAGGTGACCTCTTTCTTGTGCTCATCATCTTTAGAAAAAAGGAAGCCAACAAAGAGAAAGAAAGGGAGAGGAAGGTGAGAGAGTTCCAAGAGACAGAAAGAGAGAGCGTATACCGTTGTTCAGCTGGAAGTTTTCGAGGGTATTTGTATTCCTGATGAAATGATTCTGCTGCTGCTACGTCCTTTCTCTCTTCCCTACTTGGTGAGTCTGTTCTGCTCTTATTGTCGCTGCAACACTGTAGCTGTTTCTCCTAATATTCTGCCTATTCTGACCTGCTTTACTGCAGCTTTTTGTGAGTGGAAAGTGGAAATCACCACGTTAAAAATAAGGAGATTTTTTTTTTTATGGTAAAATAAAGAGAAAATTTGTGCGTTTAAATATACTGTTGATTATTTTATTTACAGTAAATTAATTTTAAATTAGATGCTTTTTTTTTTGAAAAGCAAAAGTAATATATTTATTAATACGGAGTATAAGGGGTACCCAAAACCCGTAAACATCTTAGTTTGAAAGGCTAAGAGTTACATATTTATTAATTTTAAATTAGATACTTATTTTTTTTTTTTGACCAGGTAGATGGTTAGGAAGTTAATAGAGTTAATTTGTTAGCAGCTGAAATTTTTCCAAAAAAGTGAACGTTCCACCCCCTCATTTGAGACGGTGCGACCATTAGATCACAAGTTGATGGAATTCACGGCGGTAGTAGAGCTTGAAGTCCTAATTTCTGCCTCACCCAAACTTTAAAATTTGGGGGCCAACGTTGGCAATTAGATACTTAAATTATGCTCAACTTTATGTGCGTCAATCAAATATAGGTGATGTGTCCTAATGAGGGAGAAAGTGGCCAACAACACTTGTTTGCCAAGGAATGAGCGGTGCAGTTATTACTACCACTGATAACATAGTTAATGCTACCAAAATATAGGTTTTTTTAAAAAATAATATCTAAAAATATTAATTTATTTATTAATTTTAATTTATTAATTAATCAATATTAATTATTAGATTCATTATAAGTTAATAATTATAATTATTAATTGTTTATATTAATCTAATTAAATAAAATTAATATTTTTGAAAATAATATTCTATAATTTTAAAGTTCATAACATTATTATTAACCGCCATAATTAATCCTGACCAGGAATAAGTGTGGCTTGCATCTCTTTAAAATCAATTGTCTGAACCGATTTTGATTTGAAGTTCACACATATTTTTTTCTATTAATTAATTTATATGAAATTTTCTTATCCAATAGAAAGTGCCTGAATTAGCTAAACGCATACCCTAAAAAGTAATACTTCCTCAAAAGAGGTCAAGTGCACACCACACATTTGATTTTGGTCAAAAAGAGAGTATTCTTAATACAAGCCAGTAATTCTCGACACAAATGGACACAAAGAGAGATAGATCATAGACATAGGAAGAGTCAAATGCGATATGAGACCTGCTTTGTAATATGGATGCAATATGCCAATACATTTTCTTCCAATAGTGTAATGGGTTGGAGTGATATAACTAGTCTATTTGTTCACTACTAAAGAAGTAATGTTTACAGCTGGTTCATTAATGTGTTTAGTAAATCCATTTATTTGCTTTTAGTAAAAGTAGCTATGACTATGATGCTCAAATTTGGTGCGTGGGAAGAGGATCGGCTACTTTCATCAAGAAATGAGTTGCAGCATTCAGCATGCAGATTCTTTGTGTATTTCTTTCTAGCAATTGCAGTGAATTCTGCAAGGCTGGTATGACAGAAAATAGCAAGAGTCTATCATTGGGTGGGGAGGTTGTTTTGCTTGTTTGCAATTGAAAGTACTCTTCGCCACAAAAATTTACGGCTTCTTCATCTAAATTTACAGGCTTCTTCATTTTATTTTATGGCAGTTAAAGTCTTAATTTTGGTCACCTCAACAAATTAGATTATGACAATAAACCTTTTAACTCTTATCTCTAGTCTATTTTATTCATATGTAGAGAGTAAAAATTGAACTTGTAAATTTATTGTTAAAAATACAAATAATTCTATTATCAAATCACAGATGACAAAATCACATATATCCATGGTTGGGTGTGGGCACTACCAGGAATTCTAAAAAATCAAAAAATAAAATTAAAAAAAGAATTAAAGACCTTACCTTAATCTTTTTATAGAAATAAAAGAAAGTTTAAGTTTGTAAAAAAAAAAAAAAGGGCCCTACTTTAAATTGATTTTTATTTTTGAACAGCAAAACAGCAATTTATTAATTTAATTTATGGGTTGGAGTATAAGTAATACCCCAAGCAGACTTTAAATTGATTCTTGATTCCAACACTGAAATCACGTGGCTGATTGCATGTCTATATATTGTGTTTCTACCAGCACAGCTTTTCATTGATCCCAGCTTGTGTATATCCTGTTTACATTTTCTTGGACAATTTAATTTCCATGTTAGTCTGAGTCATCTTTTGTTGTGAAACATTTCTTGGCAGGATAATTATAGTGTCACTTATAAAATGTCTTGACCTTGGACTGCACTAGAGACTATATTGAGTCAGTGAAATGCTGCTGCTTTATTCCAGTATGAGTTTCTGAACCATGTATAATTTATATTATGTTTGAATTGAGAAAGTTGAAGGAGAAGGAGAGGAGAGTGAGGGGAAGAGAACAATTTTTCTTATTTGGATAAATAATTTTAATGAAAGAGAGGGAGATAGAGGGAGACGAAATCCCTTCATGCTTGGTTTTCAATCCTTTTCATTTGGAGGGATTAAAACGGATTACATTACTTAACTTATTTTTGTTTTCAACTTTTTTTTTTAATAAATATATCTAAACATTTTATTTCAATTATTTATTCAATTAATAAATTTAAAAATTTCTATCCTTCTTGATTTGATTCTTTTATTAAAATGTGTAATTAAATAAAAATATTATCTTTTCTTTTTGTTTGTTTTTATCTATCCAAATTAAACTAATTTTCTTTTTGTTTGTTTTTATCTATCCAAATTAAACTAATATCAATCATTTCCTTCCCTTCACTTCTCCCTTTTTTTCCCGTGCCCCCCCTTTTCTTTCCTTTTCTTTCCTTTTCTTTCCTTTTCTTTACTAATTTTTATCCAAACGTAGGTTTAAGGTGATGAGAAAACTCATTAAACTTAAAAACGGTTAGAACTACTCTATTTCTCGTCGCCAGATTTGCTGCCTCTACACAAATCATGATTTTCTTAACCGCAACAAATGTCCAATCGAGGAAATATCTTCACCCTTAATAATTAAGACTATTCTCAAGCACAAAGTTGAATATATGTAAAAATGTATGGTGTTTCTTCTATAATATTTTTGTTTCAGTAAAGATTGTGGGATCCTCACACTTTCAGGTTCACACAGTCAACTGTTAGGGTGAAATTGACTGCTGCCAAAAATTTATAGATAGTTACCTACTTTACCTATCTGTCTTTGAATTATAACAATTGTCTTTATTAGACGTGAGCTGGTATCGATTTAATTAGTTTTTAATATCAATCAAGTCTCTGACATTTGTGTTTTTTAAGTATATATTTTGTTCCAGAGAGGTAAAAAAAAAAAAAGGCGAAAGATAAATTTTTTACCCATTTAAATTATAACCTTAGTCCCCCTTTCCCCTAAAATCGAGTATATTTTAGTAGTATATTTAATTTGAGAAAAATAAAAAAATAAAAAGAAAAAAGAGAACTTTTAATCTAATAAAAATATAATATTTTAAAATATTATAATTTAATCGAATAAAAAAATTTCTCTTTTTTCCCTTCGTTTCTACTATTTTGCTCAAATTGAACAAACTATGAATCTTTCTCTACCATCTTTAATTTTGTCTCTTGACATATTTTCTTTCTTCTGTGTTTTCTATTCTCCCACGTTTATATTTGTTAATGATTTTGCCCATAAAAAAGTTAGAACTTCAACAATTCTCCCACATACAACGTATACAATTCTTAAACTCGTAAAAAGGATAATAGTCAATGAGGCTTTAGATTAATTCGTTAAGGATTTAGAGGCTTAACTCCACAATTTTAAGGATTGTGGGTTTGACTTTCTTAAATAGCATATAAAATTTTCAAGTTTTTCTTAATTTATACACAATGTAGTTAAGTGGTCGAATATATATGTATTATGTACATTGTTACTACCTTTATATATTATGCTCTACACATATATAAAAAGACAAATAGTTAATTTAAACGTCCAATTAATATATATTGATCTTAATTGTCTATATATATATAAAGTTTTTCTAATATGTAGTTTTTAGAGTAAAAGTGTTAATAGTACTTTTTATCACCAATGTATATAAAAAAATATAAAAATAAATATTAATTTTAGTGTTAATGTGAAGTAAATATATTTAATTAAACAATTGATAAATTAAAAATTAATTTTTATTTTTTACTATAAATTTATGATGAAAAAATATATTTATTATATGTTTAATTTGTATTCTAAAACTAAATGTAAGAAAAACTCTTATATATATGTGTGTGTGTATATATATGTGAGAAAAAGAAATTTCTTGATATCCTGACATTAAAAGAATTCAGGATTTTATATGAAATTATTTAAATATCTTTAATAAATCTTTTTTATATGTTATTTAAATAATTTTATAAAAAGTTTTGATATTTTAATTGTTAAAATATCTTATTTTTTGTAATCTCATATATATAATAGGGATTCATTTACATTAATCATACACATCATATTTATATAAAATTTCAACAATTTATTTTTTCATTTGTAATGATTAAGATTCATTTATATTCATTAAAGATAATTATTTTTTATTTAAAAAATATAATAAATTTTAACTATTAAATATGAAAAGATGAATCATTAAAATTTTATGTAAGTGAAATATGT